AAATGAATGAACAAATGAATGAAACTAAAGAACTAACTCGATTACAAAGATTCTACGGCAGAAAGAATTGAATAATTGGGGATCAGTGCCTTCATAAAAATGACAGAATCCGTGATCAGCCTATTATCACTCCTCTCTTCTGGCCATCTGTGTGTGGGATTTCATTGTGTGTTGAAAGAATTGTTTAGTTATACTCTCTGCTCATCCTGAAGGAATATATTTGCATGCTAGAAGTGAGTCATTTAGTCTAAAGTTACACGTTCACGTCTGACACTATTAAATGAAGAGATAACTGAATGTCCGGTATCACTCAGACATCTCGGGAGCTGCAATCAGTCATTGACCTTTCCCGGAGAGAGAAGGGTGCTAATCAGATCCTCCCGTAACACTCAAATACAAAGCGAAAAGTTAAGATACGAAACAGTTGGCAACGGGCCAGCACGACGTATGGGGAGAAAGATGTGCACTCATTCTTCCTTCGTTCTGTTGATCGAGTGTTTCAGTTGAACCTGAACTTTATGAATAGCTGTACCATGTGACTGAGATAAATGACCCTGGCTGACCTTTGCCATCTTTTTCGTTGAAAGCAGCAATTGCACTCATCATAGGAGAGTGCAGTTTACTACATTTCTGCAACATCTTGGTTTCCTTTGAGCTTCACTATTTAAATGATTTACATGATAGTGAGATCACATAATTTCTGGTGATTACAGATAAGGATGCTTTTGGATGAGAACTTCTTTGCTGGAGGTGTATACTCAGATGGTGCCACATCTCAGGATCATCACCATCATCATCAGAGAGTGGTACCCTGTTCGAGTTCATCTTCATTATGTCCTCCAATGATATACCGAAGTCAGAAGCATTCCCGTTTGGCAATTGAACAAATGAACGAAATGAGATCAGATGGTTCTTTATGCGACGTGACCTTGGTTGTTGGAAACATTCGTATCAATGCTCACCGATTGCTGCTTGCTTCGTGTTCCAGCTATTTCCGTGCCATGTTCACTTCAGAAATGGCTGAAAGCCGGCAGCGTTAGCTTTTCTTTCATCTCATTGTAGCAAATCTGTGGACACCAATGTCTGAAGAGAAAGAAAGGTGTAAATGTATAATTTGATAAACAAACTGGGAACAAATTTTTCTTTAATTTTGCATAATTATTTCAAAGTATTATTACAAACACTAAAACTTCCTCAAATTTACCAAACTATATGCTTAACTAAATAAGAAACAGAATTTATCAAACTGGTAATAACAGACTGCTAATAATACCAGACAGCAGCCCAATAAACTCATCTGTCACTATATATTCAGTAAAATCAATCCCCATCAACAAAAAATAAACAAATACCGCAATCAATCACACATTGGGAAAAATCTTGTTTGTTCTCATTTTCGTCATAAGAGCAAAAACTGCTTTTCCTGCGCTTCCCTGTCTTTACCATGAACTTAATTAGTATTAAATTCGTAGAAGAAATTCAAATGGTAGATATCGAGCCTCGCACGTTACAAGCGCTTATTAATTTTTGCTATACGGGTGAAATAACGATTGCTGATTTCAATGTTCAGTCCATCCTACCAGCTGCGTGCTTGTTGCAACTCAACGAAGTGCAGGTCACTGTATTTCTATAATTTTAACTTTACTTGGTAACTAATTTAAACAGTCTAGAGTTGATACAGGATGTTTGCAGGAAGTTTGTTGTGAATTTCTGAAAAAGCAGTTGGATCCAACGAACTGTTTAGGTATACGGGCATTCGCCGACACTCACGCTTGTAGAGATTTGATGAGGATTGCCGACAAATTCACTCATCACAACTTTCAGGTCTTCTCTTTAAAGAAGTGTATCTGCTTAATATAAGGACACTGGCCTTTAACATTAAATCAGTATCTCAAATGTTCAAAAAATTCATGACAATTTTTAATTTTGAGTTCCATCAAAGAAAGAATTGCAGGATGTTGCGAAAACTGAAGAATTCTTACAACTGCCTATAAATCAGTTAATCGATATCATGTCAAGCGAAGAACTAAATGTTCGGTCAGAAGAAGTTGTTTTTCGAGCTGCAATGGCATGGATCCGCCATGATCTTCCCAGTCGACGCCAGTTCTTATCGAAGGTGTTGTTCTTCTTCCATTTCTTGTATTCCATCGCTTGTATAGATCTAAGTACAGTTAACAATTTTTCGGAGCTGTATTTTTTCAGGTTCTCGAGCATGTCCGTTTGCCTCTTTGTCCTGCTAAGTTCCTGGTTAGTGTAGTAAGTGAAGATCCGTTGATTAAAATTGATGCTCAGTGTCGCGATTTGGTTGACGAAGCAAAGAATTATCTTCTATTACCTCTAGAAAGACCAAATATGCAAGGACCGAGAACAAGGTATTTTTGGAATTTTTTAAAACGTGGTTATATTTTTTAATGCAGTAAATAAATTTTGTCATTTTGATATTATTCAGGAGTAGGAAGCCATTACGTTACGGTGAAGTTTTGTACGCCGTAGGCGGTTGGTGTAGCGGTGATGCTATTGCCTCGGTGGAACGGATGGATGGTCGTACGGGCGAATGGCGTTGTGTTGCTTCGATGAGCAAACGACGATGTGGTGTTGGTGTAGCTGTACTTGATAATTTACTATACGCTGTGGGAGGGCATGATGGACAAAGTTATCTCAATTCTGTTGAAAGGTAGATATGCATATAATGTTTTTATTCCTTTTTATATTGTTCGGTTAAAAAAAATGGATTTTATTTGGTATCGAGGTTGAGGATGTCAACAGATTAATGACTACTATTACATATTTACTGATATGGACAACTTCAATAGGAAATATGTTTTTTGATATTATTGTTTTTAACGCATTTTATAGTTCAGTAAAAAATCGAAAATTTCAGAAAGTGTTAATCACAAATATGATGGTAATATGATCATACATACATTTTAGATATGATCCAGCAACAAATCAATGGAGTAGTGATATTGCACCGACATCCACTTGCAGGACTTCAGTTGGTGTGGCGGTTCTCGGTGGTTTGCTTTACGCAATTGGTGGTCAGGATGGAGTTTGTTGTTTGAATGTTGTGGAAAGGTTCATGTCTATTTTTACAAATTTGATAAATGAAAAGTTAACAATTAGGTGTTTAGTTATTTTGACTCACATATTGCAGCTAAGATTTTTCTATGCTTTAGAAGTGGTACTTGACAATATTACTTTCAAGGAATTCTACAGATATGATGCGCACCGAAATGAATGGGCTGAAATTGCTCCAATGAGTACGCGCAGGTTAGGTGTATCAGTATCGGTTTTAAATGGTTGTTTATATGCTGTGGGTGGTTCTGATGGACAGAATCCACTGAATACTGTTGAACGGTATGTTGCTGCTTCTGTTGAACTTTTCGTTTATTTTCCAGTCATTTCATTAAACTTGAAAGGAGATCTTTGTGCTTCAAAAATAATTTCAAAATCATTATCAGAATGTTACAGTTATGATTCGAGAATCAACAAGTGGATGATGGTAAAATCAATGAATACGAGACGGAAACACTTAGGAACTGCTGTGCACGATGGATGTTTGTATGCTGTGGGTGGTAGAGATAATGCTTGTGAACTATCATCAGCAGAGAAGTACAATCCAAATACAAATGAATGGGTCAATGTTGTTGCTATGAACAATCGCAGATCTGGGGTATTCCTCTTAACTACATTTTAAATAACTGGCATTTGGATATGGTGCTTTTATTATTTTTGAGTTTTTGGTATTATCTCAGCACTTTTTTGGCAAATTCATGATCTGAACTTTTTTTTTCTCATATTTATGACGAACTTTTGTGTTACTAACGTTACTACGTCCACTCATTGGAAATAATATCGTGCTTAAAATTTGTTTGCCGGCGTTCATCAATGATCGTTCCAGCAATTATTCTCGTACAATATGTGACTGCAATTAGCAATAAGTTGAAGCATATCTTTTGCTGTCACGTTCTGAAGGATAACCGGTTTGCTAAAGACAGTTGTAATGACGATTGTTCTCATATAATCACGTAGAAACACTTGTCCATTTCCAATGGTTCAGTAGCAATTTTTTCGACTAATATGAATTTAGGTGGGTTTGGCAGTAGTAAACGATCAATTGTATGCAGTGGGCGGTTTCGATGGTACCACATACCTAAAGACCGTAGAAGTTTATGATCGAGAAACGAACCAGTGGCGTCAATCGGGATGTATGACATATCGACGACTTGGAGGTGGCGTTGGAGTGGTTCGACTAGACCACGACCAGTATGTGCCGTTCACTCCGGATCCTGATTTAGCTCCCTTTGATGACCCTCCTTTGATGTGAGGTTTCGGGATTTCTCCATTTAGTTGGAGAACTGACTCATATATGACATTCATAAAAGTTCGAGAACTGTGATTCTGTGCTGATTTACATTGTTGCATTATGTACATATGCTCATCTTATAAATTTATTCGAATGAATATTTACTATAGGAGGACTAACAGTTCACTTCTCAAAAGTTACGGTGTATTGTAAGATTGTGAGATTCATATGCAGGTTCATTTTAAAGTATAAAGCTGAACAATAAAGCAGATCGAATAGGTATGGAATGTATGCTTTTGGAATAAATCTCATTTGGGAGAAGGCGTAAATCCCGAAAAAAGTGTTAACGTCATCGAATTTGAAACAAAATGTTTTTGTAAGTTTCAAAGATGTGTCAGGGCGAATAAGCTGGATGCTTTAGAACATGAAATCTTTTTCTCCCCAGAAGTGCGTCATTGCAGCGACAAAAGGTTAAAAATTCATTGTTCGGAAGTTGTAATGTATTGTGTTTACATGCAGATTCATTTCAAAGTATTCGAGGAATAAAACTGGTTATGCAGCTTAATTAGTCCCAATCAGAATGAGGTAACAAGCTGTTTTATTTAATCGGCATTGTTGCTGCTTGAATTTTTGGCAACTTTAGAAGCTAAGAAGGTCCTTTGCTGCTGCTATGATGTCGCCATTATGCTCAATCAATTTTTTCTCCGCTTGAATTCTTGGTAGTTCCAATTCATCCATCTAAAAAGTCATTGGGTCTTGTTGTGCTGGAGTTTTCAAATGAAACAGAAATTGGGAACAAAATTTAAAGTTAACTATAAAAACTGCGGCATTTTTCCTTGCTTTAGATCTATCTTTGATTTACTATTACAGATGGCACAAGCATTTGATAAAGAACGACGCAAACTAAGATCTATCACATTATGTTGCGCACTTGAAGATAATAAAAAGTTTTTTTATTTTTGTACACAGCATCGGTAAACTTAAAAAAAAACAAGCTACTAAACCATGTATTATAAATGATTTAGATGTTATCAACTTATTAATGACTGTTGCTAATGCCAGCAATAAATTAAACAAGCAGCATTTTAATCCTTTGCACATGCGGTAAGATCGATTTGTCAGTGTTATAACTTACGATAAGCAGTACGTCCTCTTTCCTCACATTGACAACTTCCCCAGTTTTCATTAGAAGTCGACTAGGTCCACTGATCAAACTGTCAAGTTTTTCATTCGATACTTCTCTACCGATATCATTGTCTTCATTGAAATCAGTGACCTGCAAAATGACAATTACTCCTATTATTTTCATTTAATGATTTTCCATTAGTATATAAGAAAAAAGCAAACCTTTTCAAGGTCAGCCGCAGCCCAATCCTTACTTTTCGATGTGTCTTTAATTACTCGATCAGTTTGATTCTCGACCCCGTTTTGTTCATCTTTCTCTTTTTCTCTCATCTATACAAATACCTCATTAATCAGTTAATAATCAGGATTCCTATCAAATTATTCCTAATCATTCTGATAACCAAATCGCGCAACCCCAATGCATCGCACAACCACCGAGAAACGAACTTGCTTGTTCCAAATGGAATGGCATTTGATCAGTCGCGGGCGACATGACATGATAGAACATGCGTATGTTGACGTGAAATGTAGGTTTACGTTTTCTTTATTACCGTGAATATAACATATCTCGTTATGGATACATCCACCTTGCACAAGCAGGGAGCCTTTGATATGGATAGTAACGCCATATACAGGTATCGTATACTTACTATTTTAAGTCTGTAACATCACTATTATTGATAAACTTGATTTATATCAGTGATAGTATTTCGTCACTATCACTGACATAAATCAAATATAATCATCGTGTATATAATAAACTTGATGCATTTATAATCAATTGTTTTCGTATGAAAATTATCTGGTAACAACTTATAATGACGATAGGTAAACTAATTCGCACTGCATATTTCACTTTTTCGTTACAGAAATAATCAGAACTGTAGAAGAAAAATCAGATGATAAGTTCATTGGTTAGATGTCGACAGTTGATTTATTACAGGTCGTTATTGGTGATAGGTTTTCTTGTAGTGATTGTCGGAGTTTGGATTGCTATCAAAATTCTAAGGTAATTATATTGAAATTTACAAATAAAATATATTTCCGGGTTAATGACAAAGTGCTCTTATGAGTTAAAGCCGTAAATAATGAATTGGAAGTATGTGTTTCTGAGATAAACATATCTCATTTATACATTGCAGAGTTAAAAATAGCGAAATGCGTATACGCCGTTACGACATTCTGTCAGCGAAACAGCTTGTTCCGGATCACATTCGTTCTGAGGACAGTGATGACGAATTACTTGCTCCAGTACGAAGGGATGATTTTATAAGACATCTTATACCGGAAAACACAATCCAGTAGGCATGCCTTCATAAATATTTTTACACATATTTTATTACAATTTGTAACCGCCCTTTTTTGATGCGAAATTATTTTTTCCATCATCTTACTTCTACCATTCACTTGTCCAGCAATAAGTTCATATTCATATTCTGTTCGACTTCTTTTACTGATCCCATTATTTTTTAGCTTTTCTTTACTTAATATTTTGATTTAAAGAAGAAAGATTGCACGACACATTTTTTGATGATGATCGTCGTTACAAGATGTTGATTGGTAATTGGACAGTTATAATTTTAGTTTACTAATATTGCTTTCATTCTCTCATTGGCAGGTATTGTAACAAACTTGCTAGTTTATTTTTTTGTATTTGATATAAAAAAAATATTCTCGTTTATATCTCGTTTTTTTTCTAAATTTAATTCTACACCTACGGTTAATTATTGTTTCCATTTATAAGCAGTTATTTTTGCTTTTCTATATAAATAATTCACACATCAGTTTTTTTCTTTTGACGATATTTCGATTGTTCTGTAATAAATATTAATTGCATTTCAACATGATTTTGTGATTTTCTGTTCAATTTAATTGATTAGCACTTCAAATTAGTAAGTCCACTCATTCGTGTATCTCAATGTGACGTGTACGATCTTGTTTTTTTTTTTTTTTATAATGATTAACCATGCTCTCTGACTTGAAGTTAAGAAGTTTTTAATAATACCATTATATTCGTGTATCCGAATCCTGGGAACATAATTCTCGAGGTTGGGAGTTTTTGCGTATTAATACTATTTCTTCCAGAAGCTTCTAACAGTTTTATAGAAAAATTCGGTGTATAATACTCTTCCTTTAGTCCCTCTAATGAATAACAATAAAACTGTTTGATTTTATTATAACTAGTGCTTGCCCTACTTTAATGTACGCGTAAATCAACATTGCCATCCATTCGGATTTCTCGGTTCCACAAAGCAGATCAAGCAAAATTATTATCTCAGTATGTTTTATGTTTCTTTAATGGTAGTAGAAATTGGAAAGGAGTTAGAGTTATTTGGAAATAATCACCTGGGTTACATTTTCCATCTTTTACCATTATGACTTTACTAAAGATAGCCGAAACAAAGGATACCTCTTCATGGCAGTTTGCTGCACCACTATTTCATAACGGCAATAATACATGCGTACGTAAAATAGGTAGGGACCTCGAGATAAACGTATTTTTGTGTGACCTGCTTTCTCCGATTAATCGATTAATTGATGCCTCGGTATTTGTGAGTTGAAATTCCCAATTTACGAAAAAAAGGAAAAGAAAGACACTATTTGCAGTTCGTTCCAAAAAATTAATATATTTTATTAATTTTTTCTTAAACACTCAACCATATTAAGCTCATTTCAGATGTGCCTACAACGATGGATAGGGCCTAATAAGTAAAACACTCTTTAATGTGTAGTTAATAATGAAACAAGTTATTACTACTTTTGCGATTATGATCAGTACAGTTTCGGGAAACGAAAATTGCAGTTATATGATTGTGGAACTAAAATTAACATTAAACATGTGAGAACAGCTTTTCATATTTGAAAATGGTCCATTGTATTACGTACTAACTTACCCTCGGCTCGAGTAGGTCTTGGCTTCTTAGTCATTGATTCGAGCATTTGCGTAGCACAAACAACGGGTTTCCCGACTACGTTACATCGTGCGATTAGCATTTTCTGCGCCGCAAATACTTTCTCAGTGGGAATTTCAATACCCAAATCACCGCGCGCTATCATCAACCCGTCAGCTTCTCTGATTATCTCATCTGCGCTAAAAAGCCCTTCCGATGTTTTTTCCATTTCTCAACAAAATAGCATCCCATTGCAATTCACATTGAACTTTTAACGGGCAGTTTGCTCAGAATTGCAAAGCAATTTATTTTCACAACTTGAAATTTGCTTATCAGTCGCTTAGAAAATTTAGCAAAATTAGCTTACTTTTCAACGCCTTCTTGGCTCTCAATTTTCGCTATAATTTTAATAAATCTTCCTTTCTCGCCGAGAATACGCCGAATTGCACGCACACCTTCAGCGTTTCGAATAAATGACGCAAATATCATATCAACACCCTGCAAAAAATAAAAGTATTTTTAAGTTAATTTTAACTTAAAAAACTTGGAAAAGATTGCTGAGATAAGTCCAGAAATTGGTACCTGTTCAACACCGAATTTCAAATCTTGAGTGTCTTTATCAGAAACGGCAGGTAAATCACATTTAGTACCAGGAAGATTGATCCCTTTTTTGCTGCCTAATTTACCGCCATATTCGATCGTGCACATTATGTCTTTGCCTTCTAAAATGATGGAATTACTTGGCTCTATAAGCAGTTTTTATCGTGTTTATACTATTAAAAATGGATCAAAGATTTGATTGCGCCACGCAATAATAATATAATTGATAGCAAGTTGAGTTCGGGAGCAAATTAAGGATCCCGATCAAATTATGACCAAACTTCTCAACCTGTATACTTTTCCGGCTAATCATTACTGAAATTTTTATTTTCAGAATAAACAGTCATACGGATGCTATTAACAGCCACTGAAATGAGTCCGTCGTCGATGAATATATGAGCCCCAGGCTTCAGAATATTGGGCATGTTCTCATAATCAACGTATAATACATCAGCACTGCATTTCGAAGCAAAGGCCTTGTCCGTTGTGAGTTTTATTTTTGCGCCTTTTTTC